GAGTGTGTTGGAATGATGATGGAGGCTTAAGGCTGGAAAGTGCAGTGGCTACTGGTCATAGGGTAGGGCCTGCTTCCACAGTGGCTCTTGTTTAAAAATGTCATCATACCGCATCAATTTGGGTCATGAGGGTGGGGGGTGGGGAGTGCATAGTATGTGATGCTGTTCTAGAGCAACGCATTGTGTGTATTCTAGGCAGCTCCCCACACTTGGCTCTGGGCTTACAAGAGCTGTAGGATCCTCCTGCAAAAGAGAGTGCAGGCCTCTGTGGTGAGGATGAGGATTGATGTGACCCTCTTCCTACTTTTTCCCTGCAAGGGAAAATCCCTCCTATATTGATCCTGGTGGTGAAGATTTGACGTCTGAGGCTGTGTGCCTCTCTTCTCTCTATGCTGCCATCCTGGGATTTCATGCTCCATAGGGATCTCACCAGTCTCCTGCTACATGCTCCTTGAATATCTAGCTGTTCTGCTTCTTTTCTGTGAGAGGGACATGCTCCAGGCACCTGCAGCCAGCCATCTTGCCCTGCCTCCCAATGAACCCTGATTCTTTCTATTGAAGAATGATGTTAGAAACCAAGACCTCAGTGCTATGTATACTTTAACATTTTTTTTTTTCAAACAGAAAAGGGGCATGACCTGACTCAACATTTTAACAGCATTACCCTTAGTCTTTTTTGGAGATTGGAAGAGCAAAATTCAGCTAAGACCAAGAAATTAAGACTCTACTTTGACATTCATCAAGTTGAAAGATATGGATAAAGCCAATTTCGAAGTTAACATTACAAAATATTTCTCCCCTAGATCCTCGCTTTATACCTGAAGCTGTACAGTGTCATACTAGCTCACTTCTTTGAGGGGCTACTGCTTTCTTACTCAATGAGAAACTTTTTCCTGTAAAATCATAGAGTGTCAGAAACTTTGGTATTTGGAATTATATCAGTAAGAATGAGCATCCCTTTCTTGACCAGAGAATGAAAGTTATCCAGACACAGAGAAGTATCCTCAATTTCCATCCCAGGTACACACCTTTAGAAAAAAGTGATCTTGGTTTTATTTTTCAAAAAAAAAGCAACAAGACCTTCATCCACTGTGCAGTGGAGAGTTCACATTGGCCCCTTCACACACAGGCTGATTGGCATTGAGTGTGTAAAAGCACTGCTTCATTTAAATTCCACCTAAACTCCACACCCACCCCACTCCCAGAAAAATCTAATAATAATTTTGTGTTTTTCATTATTTGGTGAGATGCACCATGTACCTCTGATATGCAGTTTCTCTCATTCTGGTGGGTAAAAACACCTTATTTTTAGATTGCAATTTTGTTTCAGGTTGTCTTAGGATGTTTGGGCTCTACAAAGAATGGTTGAAAGGGCAAGAGCAGAATCTGAAAGGTCATTTGGAGGATTAAAATAATCTAGGAGGAGATGATGCTTCCTTGCACCAGGGAGGTGGCACTGGAGTCACAAAAATCGGACAGCATGCATTTACTCTGCTTGATTATTCCTCACCGTCTTTATTGTTCTCCATAAGCATGCACTTATTTGTTGCTCATTTATTGTCTCTCTCCTGCACTAAAATGTAAGCAGCCTGAGGTCAAGGACATTGTCTTGTTAAACTAGTTCCTGAGCACTTACAAGCATCTGCCACATAGATGTAAATACTTGTTGACTGAATGAATAAACTGGAAGTTCACTAAGGGTCAAGGTCGCAAATGCAAGCTGGCAACCCACTGTTGCTATTTCTCTCTCTCTCTTTTTTCTTTTCTTTTTTTCTTTTTGGCAGCTGGCCTGTATGGGATCCCAACCCTTGACCTTTGTGTTATAACACCGTGCTCTAGTCAACTGAGTGACTGACCAGCCCGTACTGTTGCTATTTTTGACTGTGGTGTTCATAATCAGTAAATTTAACCAGGAAGGCAAGGTGAAACTGTGTGAAGAGAAGGGAAGTTTTTTTACTCCTTTCCAATCGAGACATGATCGTGAGGGATTTTAATTTTGATGGACAACTCATTGCTAGGACCTGTGGTAACTGTCCTGGTATCATGACAGCAGCAAAAATATACAGTTCTGTGAGCCAAAGAGTCTTCTTTGTCCTAACTCTCCAGAAGCCTAACATTTCACATCTACTAAAAAGGAACGTAAAGGGGTCCCTTCCTGATGACATCACAAACTATATGTTTGTTTGTTTCCCCCAAATTCATGTGTGAGTAACTTAAACCTCAATGGGATCACATTAGGAGGTGGGGCTTTTAGAAGGTAATTAGGATTGGATTAGGTCATGAAGGTGGGGCCCTAATGATGGGATCAATGCTCTTATAAAAGGAGGAGACAAGGAATCTCTCTTTGTGTGCATGTGAGGGCATAAGAAAGAAGACAGCCTTCCCCAAGGATGCGACCATGCAAGCACCAGGATCTCAGACTTCCAGCCTCCAGAAGTGTGAAAAATAAATTTCTGTTGTTTAATTCATCTAGTCTACAGTGCTCTGTTATAGCAACCTGGACTGACTAAGATACTGCCACTCAATGATGAATCATTTTCCCCCTCCTCTTGAATCTCTTTCAGTCTTTCTAACACAGCTACTATTTATAGTATTTTATTTTTAGGAAAATAAAGTGATAGGCCAGGGAATGAGCAAGAATGTTATCAGTATATAAAACTAATATTAACAATAAATTTGATGCTGTCATGAGTATATTGTGAATGTCAAATACCAACAGCAAATATCTTATTTCACCAGGCACTTATTAAACTCCTATTGTTGTCAGACATGGATTAAAGAGATTTATCACCATCACCACAATCAAAATACCAGTAGTGGTCACAAATCAAAGTGATCTACGGTTCTCCACTGTTCCCAGCAAAGAATTATAGATTTTCTCTAGTTATTTTCTCAAGAGGAATTTTCACTAAATAGGATTCTTAAGGATTTGTTAATCACTTATCAAAGTTGCTGTTATTTTTATTGCTGTGCTTTCTTTCTACTTTGTGCCAGAGTCCAGCTCCGCAGGATTCGTTGGACTTGAATAGGTGGTGTGGCATCAGCGAAAGAAAGAGATGGACCACAAATGTCTAGTGCAAGTGTGGACAATGACCACATGAATCTTGCTTTATTTATACCTTTTTACCTAATTTTTTACATAATGATATATCTTTTAATCAAAACATTTCTCATTTCATTCTATTGAAAAAGAAAGGTCAAAATGTTCCAAAGCACTCATGCTTTGACAAAAACACCCACTCATGCATCAATAGTTCACTCCAAAGTCCATGGCTTGTGGCCAGGAAACTATACAATAACAGCATGCTTGGCTTTAAAGAGCAACAGACTTTTAGTTTGAACCATAAATTTTAACCTTCTTAACTTGTATGTAAACTTACATTCTATTAATCTTACTTATACTTATGTTTAACAATTTAATAATGTTTATGCTTATATCAATTATGCTAATTCTTAACCGACTAAAAACATATTACTTATATCGTGATTTTGTATAATAAAATATAACAATAAATCTGTTACTGTTAAATGATTCTAAATTATAAACTAACCTAAAACAAACCTGTTAATATCAAAACTTGTTTATATTCTTATACTATTTTACTTATCGCTATAACAAAACGTTTCATATCTCTGCCAACTGACTCGGGGAACAGCACAGGGGACAAGGTGAAAAGTTAAATGACCCTTCTTAAGTTTGTTAAAATGCACTGCGTCATTCTTATTATTACTATGGAATGACATGTTCTTGGTGAGTCAAGTGAAGCAGTGGGAGTGGAGAAGGAACAAAGAAATCTGTAACTGGTTGTGATCAATTAGTTGTAAACACCACTGCACTTGGACCCACCGTCTCCCTAGGAGGTGTGGATTTATAAAAATTTAACACAAATGATTCTAAATTATAAACTAATCTAAAACAAACCTGTTAATATCAAAACTTGTTTATATTGTACTATTTTACTTATTTATATCTATAATCAAACCTTTTATATCCCTGCCAATAGACTCCGGGAACAGTACAGGGGACAAAGTGAAAAGTTAAATGACCCTTCTTAAGTTTGTTAAAATACACTGTGTCATTCTTATTATTACTATGCAATGACATGTTCTTGGTGAGTCAAGTGAAGCAGTGGGAGTGGAGAAGGAACAAAGAAATCTGTAACTGGTTGTGATCAATTAGTCGTAAGCACCACTGCACTCAGACCCACCATCTTCCTACAAGACATGGATTTATAAAAATTAAATACAATAACTTCATTCCACATGCACAAGAGTATGATCACAACTATAGAGCCAGTTATTCTAAAATTATGGGTCAATGCACACACCACTAACAGGAAAAATCAACATCAAAATTTAATCAAGCCAAACCATACTGAGAACATGTATCAAAAACACCTTCAGTACTGACAATGCCCTTTAAATAAACCAGTTACTTTTGACGTATTTTAACATGTCCTTTGAGAATTTCCAAGGTCCTCGGAATTTCCCAAAGCCATACCAAGCCAAAATTAGACTGGTTAACTCTGGGAAGCCTTGTCAAGCAATGAAAGGTGAACAAATAGGAAATTCCACAGAGCTGTGCCACATACACGGGACCCCCTGCAGCCTAGCTGAACAAGGGGTATCACTCCTCAGGCTCCCATGCCGTTGCCTATAGCAGGATGGCTCTGGACAACTTTGGTCTTGAAGTCTCTCTCTAGAGAGTGACCATAAGCCAAGTTAGCCTCTCTTTAGGACAGTTATGATGGGGGGAGTTTAGGTTCAGGCATGTGTCAGGTGAGGCACAATGCAGAAGTAAAAGCAAAATGCATGAAGCAGAAGAAATTTATTACTCACAGGTCCTAGAGAGGTTACAGATGCATATGGGAGAGTGACAGGAAGTACAGAGGTGTCAGGGAGTTTAACCAGCTGGTGGGGAGTGAGTGTGCATGTGCACATGAGACAGAGAGAGAGACAGGGAAGTGAGGGTGATGTGTGGACTTTGCCTTTATTAAGATACATGGGCATAATTCCTTAGGCTTTCCTATGGGGGTTACAGATTGGCTAGTTCAAAGAAAATATGTGAGAAGAGGGAAACTTACTAATATGACTCTTGTGTTGACCGCAAGGTTTTATCATGGTCACTAGCTATGGGGTGTGTTGAGTTTGGGTCAGTGAGGTGAAGAACAAGCAGGCTATATCACAAACAACCACACAGGGAAGGGAAGTTTTAACTAGGCCCATGGTGGTGTGGTACAACTGGGTTTCAAACAACTTATGTCAGGCCTAGAAGCAGATGCCAAGGCAACAGCTATATTAAATAAATTTATGACAAAAGTAAAGTCATCTGATGTGGTGGTTTATTGGAAGTGGATGAATGGTATTTAGCTCCCTGCCCATGGGATCTATTCAAGGATATTACATGCCCTTGGCCCAGCTAACAAGGATATGCAATCCAAAAGTATGAGTCGAAGGCTGTATTGGCTTTAATAAACTCAGTAGATCCTTTAGGGACTCTGCAGTGCTATTTTTCCCTCATGAATTTGGATTTTGACATCCAGAGGATTCTAATCTATGGGAAGTCAACCCATTTCTTGAGTATACCTCTTTAAGAAGAACTTTAGCATCATCGGTCACAATATCAAGGAAATAAAGTTGCAAGTAGTACATTTTTCTAAAGTAAAGACCTGTAGCAAGGAGACCTCCATTAGCCGAACAGAATATCTCAAAATATTTCAAAAGTGTTTCACCTATTGATTCTTCCTTCTTATTTTCCAACAAATGAGGAGATTTAATGATTGCATTGAGTTGTTTCACAGGCACTTGAAAATCTTTAGCCAAACTCTGCAGGGATGCATCGTCCACTCCAAAGAAGACTTGATATTGCTTTAAGCTCTCCTTCAGCTTGTCTATGTCACTGTCAATGATGATGCCCACTAAAGGAAAGGTGGCCAATGCTCCAGCTTTCAAGGCTTTTAGCCAGATCATCTGCTTCAGAGAATCCCTCTTTCTTTCAATGGCTCCCTCAGTAATACTAGGCAGGGAAAGCATAAAAATGTGGCGCTTTTGAATCGGAAGATCCTTTAATAGGGTGTCCGTGAGGATTGGAAAATCATAGTCAGATAAATCTTTGCTGGAGATTAAGAAGATTTGTGGTTTATTAATCTCATTTTTCATAAAATTATGCAGACCGTAGTTTCGGATCTGTTGCAGAACTTTTTCTCTATCAAAGGTAGTTGGTTTACTTTCCTGTTCATTTTTTAAATCAAAGTCTACCTTGGTTCTCACAAAGTAGAAATTCTTCTTCATAATTCTGATCATTTGGGCCAATTCTATGTCATTTTGCTTGAAGCGTGTAGCAGAAACAATAATAAAGAAGTCATATTCTCCAAATTTTACTTTCCTTAGATAATCTTTTGGCTGAAAATTACAGGTTCCATACCCAGGCAGGTCCCATAATGTCACATTGTGAAATTTTTGGTGTTTGTATGGAGTTCTCTCCATGGTCGTCTCCACCACTCCAGTGGGGGCTGCATCTTCTTCTTCGGGTCCAACCTCTCTCAGGGCATTGATGAAACTGGACTTTCCTGATCCACACTCCCCTGTCACAGCAATGTTGAGTTGGACATTATCAATTCCTTTTAATGCATCATTGATTACAGAGTTTACCCCCTGAATGTTTCCTTTTGTCAAGTGTAAATCGATCAAATTTATGGTTTCCTGAGAAATGATTTTGTTTTCTATCTTCAGGTTCTTAATATATGCATTCAGGCCAAAGGACGAATCTTGGTGTTGTCCATCATGAGGTGTAGCAGAGGAACGTTGACCCATGACTGTAAGCAAATGAAGGATCTAAGAGAAAGAAGGAAGAGGAAAGTTGAAAGAGATTACTATGCCAGAAGAGCATCTTTGTGCTTTGCTCTTACAAAAGTACTGTGTGGCTTCAGTGCTGTTTCCCTCAGTTATGTCCTGACACAGAATAGTTTTCATCATATCTCTCTGCTTTTTTTCTTTTTTTTTTTGACTGGTAAGAGGATCGCAACCCTTGGCTCTGTGTCATCTGCACCACGCTCAGCCAGTGAGCGCACCAGCCATCCCTATATAGGATCAGAACCCAGGGCCTCGGCGCTACCAGCACCGTACTCTCCTGAGTGAGCCACGGCTCTGTGTCATCTGCACCACGCTCAGCCAGTGAGCGCACCAGCCATCCCTATATAGGATCCGAACCCAGGGCCTCGGCGCTACCAGCACCGTACTCTCCTGAGTGAGCCACGGAGCTGGCCCACTTTCTCTTATTTAAAGTCTTTAATATTGAAATTCTTAAACTTGAACAAAGTTAGTAATACTAATATATAACCTCATATCTATTAGTCAGCTTCCAACAGCTATCAAAACATAGCCAATTCTATTTCATCTAACACCACTGGATTACTCTGAAGCAAATTCAAGACATCCTATCACTCCGTGCATAAACCATTCAGTATGTGTCTTCAAATTATAAGGAATTTTAATGATCATTGTAATACCATTATCACACCTAAACTAATTAATAATCTATAATTGTCATCAATACCTAATCAGTGTCTAATTTCCCCAACAGCTATATAGGATTTTGGTGGTTGTTTGTATTTTTGTTTACACTATTGGTTTGAATCAAGATGTTAGTATAGGCCACCTATTGTATTTGATTGATGTATTTCTTAAGATACATTAATTTGCTTTTCATGTACCTTTTTCTTGACTTTGGAACTCACACCCATGAGTCATTTTCTTCCAGGAGCATTATTAACTTTCAATAATACAAGGCTTTTCATCCATTCAAGTACAAGTTTAGACTCATTTACTCAATGTAATATTTCCACATTTTCAAGCCCTTATTTAATGCCTCTGTTTTCTTTTAAACTTTTTATTTTATAAAAGTAATCTAACCGTACAGGATCTTTTATAAAGAGCAGCATTTGCTAGGGGAGAGCTTCAGAAAAACCCACATGAGAAGTTGCTACTTTCTAACTTCACCACATGAAGACTATTTTATTTCTTTCAATAGCTTTATTGAGATATCATTGACATGTAAAAATTTTATATATTTAAGGTGCACAACTTGATGTTTTCATTTACAAATATATTGTGAAATGATCATCACAGTCCAGCTAATTAACCTATATATCACCTCTACATGGTTACCATTTGTGTGTGTCTCTGTCTGTGGGGCGGGGAAGGGAAAAGATTTAAGATCTCTCCTCTCAGCAAATTTCAAGTATGCAATACAGTATTGCTAATTATCCCAACCATGCTGTACATCAGATCCCCAGAACTTGTTCATCTGAAACTTTGTATACTTTGACCAGAATTACCCCATTGCACTCTCCCCTCAGACCCTGGAAACCACAGTCCTGCACTGCTTCTATGAGTTGGATAGATTCCACATATAAGTGATATTTGAAGATAATTTTTTACAGGGTAGCAGAGCAGATTAAGAGCGTGAATAAAGTTTTAGTGGTTTGCCCTGTGCCCCAGGTAGATAGCCATGGTCTCCATCAATGGGAGGGCCACCTTCTACCTTCCAGTGTAATCGAGCCATTGGGAGGCACCAGCAAGCATCTGGGCATGGAATGAAAGAGGTGAGTGCATTGCCTCCCCGTTATCTCCCTGCTTGGTCTGCATTTCTGACTGTAGCTGCATCCTTCGCTGATTACATTCCCTGCTGTATGGCTAACTGTCAACGGTTCTAGTTTTCACCGGGCTTGGGAAAAAATATATTCTTTCTCTCTTCTCCTTCTGCCCTAGGGCTGGTAAAGGCTTCTCATACTTCCTAGCTCCTGGATGCCTCACAAGCCCTTATTTATCCACTTAACCTGGTCTAACGTTCTGAAATTACCCTTTCAATAACATTTCTTCATTAGAACCCTTATCAATGAATACTGCCTGAACCAAAATATGTGACTTTTTTTATTAAGTAAGGTGCTACAAGGATATGTGTATTTTTTCCTTCCTAAATGACATATGGGGGTACTTTAAAAAGTTCATGGAAAGACTCATATTATCTTTCAATGCTATTTTTCTGTAAACTTTTGAAGCACCTTCATGTTATGTACCTGAAACAAAGTGTGGAAATATATAAAAGTCATAAAGCAAAATTAAAATGGAGACTGGGCCTGAAAACTTCTTGAGCAAGCAAAACCAACTAGGCCTTAAAAATAGCCTTCTCCTTCCTTAAACTGCAAACATAAATGGAACCTAACTTGGGTCAATTCTGGTAACTGCTTATTAAATAGAATCAAAACTTAACCTCAGCTGATCACAAGTAGCCAACTAACATGATCATAATAGAGACTTCCCAACAAAAGGTAATTTTCATAAAAAGGCCATCTTGTCACTAATAACCAATCAAATAATTATTTTGCTTCCACATTTACCCCATTAATACTTGCCCTGACAATTTGTCATTGGAACATTAAACTTCTTTCTGTCTGGTGCTCCCCAATTAATGAATTGCTTCTTACTCAAATAAATGCTTTACATTTTTATTGTGCGTCAGATTTTTCTTTTTATTATTAAGATAATACATTTTTTTTTAATTCTACATATTTTTGGGTTTCAACATTGAGATATGTTGATCAAATCAATATTACTAGCATATATATCATTACAAATTGCAATTATTCTTTATGCCCCTTGTCCAATCCCTCCTCATCCCCCCCTTCCTCCCCCCCCCTCTAATCACCCTAGATTTCTTCTCTCCCTCTGAAAGAATAATGGTCACTTTGTTGATTTGCTGCCCAAATGGTCTGTCCAATGCTGAGAGGTGTGATCAGGTCCCCCAATACTCTCATACAGCAGATGTCTCTTCCATCACTATGAAATGGACTCTGTGGAGACAGATATCCTCCTCCTTTCTTTATCTCTGCTGGTGACTCTACTTGTGTCAACTCACTCCAGTGGCTGGTGGACCATCTGTCCAGTGGTTGTGGCATCTAGCCGCCTTCACGGCAGCCATGGTTATCCTGGCTGTGGTGGGCCACCCACATGGAGGAGATGTTTTTGGCCTGCTCTGTGGTGCTGGCAGTGTGCCTGGTTGTGGGAGGGAGGTTTGGTCCCCTTCTCCATGCCTTGGGCCCCTGGGTGGGCCCCGAGGCCCTGGCACAGGGTGCCTGGTTGTGGGAAGGGGGCTCTGGTCCCAGACTCCATACCCTGGGTCCCTGGGTGGGCCCCAAAGTGCTGGCATTGTGAGCCTGTTTGTGGGAGGGGGTTCCAGTCCCCTTCTCTAGGCCCCAGGTCCCAGGGCAGGACCCAAGGAGCTGGCACAGGGTGTCTGGTTGTGGGAGGAGGGTCCAGTCCCCTTCTCCATGTCCTGGATCCCTGGGCAGGCCCCAAGGTACTGACACGGTGTGCCTGGTTGTGGGAGGGAGGTTCAGTCCCCTCTCCAAGCCTTAGGGCCCTGGGTGGGCCCTGATGCACTGACCTGGCATGCCTGGTTGTAGGAAGGTGGGTCTGGTCCCAGCTCCTTACCCCATGTCCCTGGGTGGGCCCCAAGGTGCTGGCATGATGAGCCTGGTTGTGGGAGGGGGTTCCAGTCCCTTTCTCCATGCCCTGGGTCCAAGGGTGGGCCCTGAGGCACTGGTGCAGTTTGTCTGGTTGTGGGAGGGGGGTCCGTTCCCCTTCTCCATGCCCCAGGTCTCAAGGAAGGCCCCAAGGCACTGGCACGGTGTGCCTTGTTGTGGGAGGGGGGTCTGGTCCTTTCTCCATGCCTCCGGCCCTCAGGCAGGGCCCTGATTTGCTGTCCCAGAGTGCCTGGTTGTGGGAAAGGGATTCGGCCCCCGGCTCCATACCCTGGGTACCTGTGTGGGCCACGGGGTGTTGGCATGGGGTGCCTGGTTGTGGGAGGGGGGTCTGGTCCCCAGCTCCATACCCTGGGTCCCCTTGTGGGCCTAGGGGCACTGGCACACAGTGCCTGGTTGTGGGAGGAGGTCCGGTCCCTTTCTCCAAGCCCTGGGTCCCAGGGCAGGCCCCAAGGCACTGGCATAGGGTGCCTGGTTGTGGGAGGAGGGTCCTGTCCCCTTCTCCATGCCCCAGGTCCCAGAGCAGGCCCCAAGGTGCTGGTGCAGTGTACCTGGTTGTGGGAGGGGGTTCCAGTCCCCTTCTCCACATCCCGGGTCCTAGGGCAGGCCCTGAGGTGCTGGCATGGTGTGCCTGGTTGTGGGAGGGGGGTCCTGTCCCCTTCTCCTTCCCTGGGTCCCTGAGCAGGCCCCAAGGAGCTGGCACAGGGTATCTGGTTGTGGGAGGGGGGTCCTGTCCCCTTCTCCTTCCCTGGGTCCCTGAGCAGGCCCCAAGGAGCTGGCACAGGGTATCTGGTTGTGGGAGGGGTGTCTGGTCCCCTTCTCCATGCCCCGGGTCCCAGGGCAGGCCCCAAGGAGCTGGCACAGGGTACCTGGTTGTGGGAGGGGGGTTCCTTCCCCAGCTCCATACCCTGGGTCCCCAGGCTGGCCCCAAGGTGCTGGCATGGTGTGCCTGGTTGTGGGAGGGCGGTCCTGTCCCCTTCTCCTTCCCCAGGTCCCTGAGCAGGCCCCAAAGCATTGGCACAGGGTGCCTGGTTGTGGGAAGGGGGTCCGGTCCTCTTCTCCATGTCCTGGGTCCCTGGGCAGGCCACAAGGCACTGGCACAGTTTGCCTGGTTGTGGGAGGGAGGTTCAGTCCCCTTCTCCATGCCTCAGTCCCCCAGGAGCAACTTCTTTTTCCATGTGTTGAACTGGCATGCCTGGTTGTGGCAGGGTGGGTCTGGTCCCAGCTCCTTACCCTGTGTCCCTGGGTGGGCCCCGAGGTGCTGGCGTGGTA